CAAAACTAGGGACAGTACTCCAACTCAAGCCTTACCAGTGCCAAGCAGAACAGAAGAATCACCCCACATCTCACAGAAACAATCTTTTTTACAGATGGCATTTGATTTCTCCTCTCACACAGCATGACACTAGTGACTAATACTCAGCCTCCAGACCTCCTTCCTGCTGTTGAAGTAGGCATTCCTCCTCCTCCCTCCATGCATTTGATTTTTCCTAACTGTACGTCTGCATTTATCTGTTTTGAATGCTACCCTATGTTTTTCAGACCATTTCTTTAATTTACCAAAATTATTTAAATTGTAATCCTGTCTAGCTATATACTTACAGCCCCTCAACAAATTATTTTATCTGCAAATTTAGTAAGAATACTCATATTTCCTCATCAAGCACATTACAGAAATATTGCACTAGTACCACATCCAGCACAGACCATGAAGAATCCCATTCCAGAGTTCTCTCCTATTTAACAAAAAAATACTGTTGTTTACTAACTAAAATGCAGTAATACAATTCATTAAAACCATAAATCCTTGTCTTGTTTTGTCTAATTTTTTTCCAAATATCATTCCTTTTAGTGTCTTAGAGCATTGTCATAACATTTCAAAGACCTTACGTACCCTGGATCTACCCGAAGTCAAGTTACCTACCCTCTATGGCTTTTCCCTATCCACAAGGCATGTCATTAGCTATCACAGAAGGAAACAGGTAACTTTAATGCTGTTTGTTCTTCAGAAATCCACATTGGTTCTTAGCTCCTTTATCAAGCATTTACAAGTGTTTCATTATTTGTTTCAGCATCTTCCTGAAATTGAGGTTAGGCTGAGTGGTCCACAATTCCCTTGTTCTTCCCTTTCCCATTTTAAAAGGGGGTCATATTGTTTGAAATTTTCCCATTTTATGGAAGCTCCATTGCTATCCACAACTGGGGGAGAACAAGAATAGCTACTGATTCCCATTGCTTCAGCCAGTTCTCAAAGTACCATTAATTTCACCAAGTCTGGGTGACTTCTTTGTAATTGGCTTTATCTGAGCACTCTCTAACATTTTCTTTCCCTGCTAGGTTCTGAATTCTTGCATATCTGCTCTAATTGTATTTAGTGTCCAAGAACTAAGCCTTCTGTGGAAGACAAATAAAGACAGCATCAAAGACCTCAGCTTTCTCAACGTTTGAATTTTTTCTTCCTGTGGAACAGTAGACCAGACTGCTCCATGGCTCTTTTAACTGCATGTCAACTTCTAGCTTGTTGTGGCTCAGTTTGCAGCTTGGTCCTTGTAATTTTGTCTCTGCATGCATGTTGGGTTTTGGTTTTTTTTGCTTGATCTCAGTAGATTAGCCAATTTGCAATTTCTGTGGACCTTCACACCTCATTTTTTGAGGTCAAATGGAAGTTCAGGATTTAGCCAAGTTGCCAGTATCTGCTATTACCTTTTTGGCTACTCACTCTGCATGAAGCCATTTCAGATCAGGTAGAAAATGGAAGCAAAACAAACAGTTCACCTGGTTCCTAGAAACACTGCCAATTCTTTAAAATGATGCTGGGTTCAATACATTTTTCATGGGCTGGAAACTAGAGGGCAGGGAAAAAACACACTAGAATGAATAGGCTAAATAGGTCCTTTTATCTAAAACCAGGTTGGGACAAGCTCTGCTTAGTACAATGAGGACTTTAGACCTTAGGGCATGTCTGTGGCATTTGATATTTGCCAACTAGTTACTGACATTCTGAACTTGCACAGCTTCATGTTGCTGATGAGGCTGTTGAAAACAGACACACTGATAAAGTGGAACCTTCAGTGTTGTTCAATGACCTCCTTGACCAAACTGTTCATCACTGGTGTCCCTGACTCCATGTCTTCTCCCCACAGATACACACCATGAGGAGTCTGCATGAGGAGCAGGATTCTCAATAGGCATACTGTCACTGCTCAAGGATTCCCTTTTTTTGTCACACTAACTTCTCCTTTCTGCTCCTGATCTCTCCACACATCTATATCCTTGCTGAGAGACTGACAGGAGCAGGAACAGGGAGTGGACATGTATTCTCATGAGTGCAAGAACTGCAGTGGCAGAACAGGTATGATGCCTGTCTTACTTTCTGACCCAGCTTACTGGACACACCAAGAACCATGAACTCCAGTAACTTCTCACACTGCTATTCCCTCCAGATTTTGGAGGACTGCATAGAACGTCCTTACCACTACAGAGGCAAGGAGGAAATCATGCGTCTCTGCCTCCTATCATGTCCATTCCAAAGCAGAAAAACACTAAACAGAGGTAAAAATACACCAGAATTAGCTTTCCTAAAGGAAGCAGGACAATTCTTTTCCACTCTGCTTTCAATTCTGAGCTGCCCACAGCCCACCCCAATTCTGCACCCTGGCACTGGGACACTGTCTCATGCAACAGCTGCTCCAGTGTGACCATCACACCAGTGCCCCAGGCCCACTTTTCCACCTCAGCAGCTTTGGTGCTAGGAAGCTACGAGCGCAAGATACCATCTTGTACCTTTCCTTCACCTCTTCCTCCTCCCGCTTCCGCCTACGCTCCTCCTCTTCTTGCCATTGTCTTTCCTCTTCCTCTCTTCTGATCTGTTCTTCCTCTTCTTGCCTCCTTCTCTCCTCCACTTCCTGCTGCCGCCGGAGCTCCTGCTGCAGCAGGTGCTGGTAGAGGCTGCGAGCCAGGCGGCCACGCCAGTGCTTCTGCAGGGTGACTGCAGAGGCCTTCAGCCGCAGCAGGCTCTTCTTCCAGAAGTGTGCTCGGTAGTTCTTTTGGATGATAACAACACTGGCTAGCACCTTTTGATACTTCTTCCTAGAAACAGAACCAGACACTTTACACACCACGAGGCAATACACGCTTTGCGTTTCCCACGCCCTGGTGTATTGACCAATCTTACCATGTCCACACAGAAATTAATTTGGAAAAATATTGCTCAGAAACGATACACTCTGTGCTCCTGTACTGCCACTGCCCATAAATAATTTTCTCCTCACTGTTCTCACTCCTACATCTGTCTTTTGCTCCTGTGGCCACCCACTGTTGTGATGACTCTCCAAGGCTGAATGACAGATATTTGCCACATGGGAAGAGAAGGTCCACTGTCCCAAGGTCTCCTTGCACTGCACGTACACATAGCCACTGTGCAATTACCATAATCACTCATTGTGGATTTATTTACAAAAACATACAAACAGACTTACTGTATGAGAACCAAGTTGCATATTGTCCCATCTTTTAAGTGGCGAGATGCTAATTACTCCCAGAAAAGCAAAAACAGGGCAAAAACAGATCTGGTGACATTAATCTCTCATTGTTTGGGAGAAAACACAGTGATACTACAACACTGATTGCCATATGTAACATTGTAACAGGCTGCCATAAACATTTACTGCTATTGCACAAGATTTTGCTTAAATACTACTGATACCAAAACAAAAACTTTGCCATACTTTAAAACCAAAAAACATGGTAGGGCCCCAAAATAAAAGAATCACCATTCAGTCTTTCTACAGTGTAGTGAAGTTCTAGAAAAGTCAATTCTTGCCTCTGCAATACAGAATATTTTTACCAAAGACCTGAAAAAAAAGTCACTGGTACATGATACACAAACTGGGCATATAACAAAACAGTTACTATTACACGATTATCTGGATCAATTTGTAAATTAGATTCAAACAAACGTTGAACAATTCAAAGAAGCCAAACCTAAGGTCTTCTGTTGAAGAACCAAAGGCCAAACACACCCGATGTGGGACTATGTTAGGAAGCAGCAAGTCAAAAAACAATTTAGGGGCCACAGGGATCATCAGGTGAAGACAAACTCCCCACAAAATACTATGGAAAAAAATGCTAGTGGGATTCTTACACCTACAAGCAGAAATACTGCACTGGTACTTTTATCCTGTGTCCAGTGTCAGCACCTTCATTGCAAGAACAACGTTAGACCCTCAGGTAATTCCTGAGGAAGCAGGTTTGGAACCAGAAATCCTGGCTAACAGACAGCATTTTCTCTTTGACCTTAAGCAAGAGAAGGCTAAGAAAAGGCTCAATCTCAGTCAAGGTTGCTGTGTTTTTGGGTGGCGCCTCCATTTATCCAACAGAGGACATAACAAGATTCAATTGACCTGAAGATGAAGTCTGTCCAGACTGGAAAGAAATGGACATTTTAAAAAGTAATTTAATATATTCAGATGCCTTAATATGTTGCTGTAGGAAAATTATCATTAGTAGTATGTAAATCAAAGCCTTCTTTACTCCAAACTAGAATTTGCAGAGGGAAATGTTACACAGGATCTCCAGTCAGCAGGCCACAGTAGCCCTGTGAGGTCTTACAGTCCTAGAAAGCATGCTGGAAATAGCCCAGTATTCTTACATATCCTTCCCACAGACCTTCTGCAACCCCTGAGGAAAAGGCACACCTCAAAATCCCCTTCCTGGCAATCAAATCCCCTTCAAAGGGCAACAGGGACTCATGCTGACGGCTTGTCACCTCCCTGAACATTAGATATGTCAGCCTGGTCAAAAAAATCCAGAGAGGGATGCTAACAGTGGTGTGCAGAGATCACGCCCTTTTCCGTAAGTATTAAGTCAAAGAGAGGAAGCAGAGAGAAAAGAGGAGGAAAGGGAAGAGGTGGTAAGAAGTGGGAGGTTTCAGAGCAATTGCTCCTGGGCCGCAGTTCCCTCACCGCTGCTCCCTCTGTCCTGCACAGGGGGTGTGAACAGCTGCACACACACCCTCTGCTAAGGCAGATACAAGTGCATCAAAAAGGGCACTCTGACTTTTACAAAATGCATCTGCCAGAAACTCTCTCAAGTGCAACATGTGCCAAGCCCTGCCCAGCTACAGGGCAGGCTCTGCCTGCTAATCTGCCAGGCTGAAGTGCCCCCTCATTCCTCATGAGCACAGCCAAGCCCGCAGACGCCCTTCAGCTGGAATTGCTGGACACAGGCTGTGAATTGCATTCCCATCCTTCAGCGTTCCACTCACCCTCTTGCACTGGCCAAATAAATTCGACCTGCAGCCCATGCTGAGGAGCTGGGAGACATTCTGGCCATGTATCAAAAAAGAAGGCGGGGTGGCTGCAAGGCTCCAGTGCCACATTCGGAATTGAATTAATTATGCTGTCGATGAGCTGTAGTTAGCAGTCATGCCTCTACAAACTAGAGAACACAGGACTATAGAGTAATTTCCTATTGTCTTCTTCCCCTGAGCAATAAAGAAGGTCCTGCAGAATCCAGGGACACGGCCAAATTTGTATATGGATCCTGCAAGCCTGCAAACAGTTATGCCTGTTTTAGTTGGTGAAGCAGTTACCTGCACCTCAGAATTCCACAGATTAGCTACGAAAAATAGGGTCATTTGAATGAGCTTGACTTCATTGTCTCACATTTTAGTGATTAGTCAGATACTAGGCTGTAAGGAATGAGAGCAAAGAAAATGTTCTCACCCTTAGGACTGGTTCTCCGTGCTTACAGAACAAGTTCACAATGGGGCAGAAGCCAGCCCCCCTTCCTGGGGCATATATACCCTTCTTTGCCAACATATTTTGCATGAGACCAAATTATTTTAAATACACTTGTCCCTTCAAACCTAACAGAAATGGTATCAAGCTGAAGGCAGCACAAAGTGGTACTCCTGACCTCTGCCCAACTCTGCACAGTCCATTCACCATTTGACTAGATGAACTCCCTCTTGCTGGACCTTCTACAAGTGCAGTGCAACTGGAAATTCTTCCCAGAAAAGTTTTCTAGTCTCCCTCTCCTAGCTCTTTCCTCACTCCCTGCCTTCCTCCCCTGCAAAGCCAGTTACCTCCAGCTGCTTGTGAAGATTTCCACTCTGGCTGCAGAAGCACAGCTTGTTGCTCAGAAGAGCAACATGTGGGATGAGGAATTCAGATCTGTGGAGACCAGAATACCACAAAATTTCCAGCCAAGAGGAACACTACTGCAACACTGTCTCCATCACAGCCCTTCAGGGAAGCAGCTACCTTCCCAGGAACTCAGAAAAGCAGTAATTCAGTTTGCCTGCAGAGATGTTTCCCAGAAAAATCAATTTTCCTGTGCTAATCCCTAACCCTGTCTCCAAATGCTAGACACAGAATAGAGCAGAGGCCCTGACACAAAGAACTTGCAATCTCATATACAAACAATAGAGCTAGTTCATTTGTCTTCCCAGAGGGAAACAAATAAATTAGTAGAAGCCCTCAGGACTAAATGCATATTCTGCTGATATTCCACAGTGGCAAGGCAGGGTCCAACCCATGCAAACATTTCCCAACACAAAATGAGCTACCTGGTGCAACTGGAGCTCTAAGAAGAGTGTCTGCTGGAACAGGTCTGCTGGCTAGGGATTCCACCTCCTCACAGCCCTGACAGGTGTCTGGAGCACAGGCCAGCCAGGAAAGAGCATCTTACTGGGATTAAGCGTGCATGCCACAGCCACTGAGGAGTCAGCTGTTCCACGGACTGAGAGGGGCAGAGGAGGGGCGGTTTGTCTGCAGTTGGTTCTCCCAACCCTCCCCTGGTCAGGTGCAAAAGGGAGCGGCAAGAGATTACTGGTGCAAAGCTGGCCAAAAACCAATTCTGAAGAGTTAATTAAAAGGAGAGGGAGATCACGAGGCAAACAGGCAGGGCGAGGAAAGAGGGAGAGCAAAGGCTAGAGCTGCAAGTGAGGAAGAAACAGTTTGCAGGGGGAGCAGAAAACAAGAGTTTACAGGCATAAGGAAAAGGAGGGGACCCAAAGTTTATGTGGAGCCCAGCCAGGAGCGGCCTGCAGGCAAGGAAAGGTGTCATCAGCGGCAAGCGACGGGTACAGAAATCCCTGCAGGAGCCTGCCAAGCAGCGTCGAGGGAGGGTGCAAGCGTGCACAGAAGTGAAG